TGGTTCAAGTCTATAAATACTACACTTAATGTATTAACAGTAATGCAATTAGTATATTAACAACACAAATAACATTTCTTAAAAACTTGTAGATAATACACTTAATGTATTTATGTAATACTCATGTTTTTTAAGAGTGCCTCTCCATTTTCCCTAAACTTTTTTGATTTTTGCACACATTTGTCTAAGAAACATTTGTCTTAAAATAACAAAGGTTAAAAAGACAAAAGTACACAGTTTCTTGACTAGGAAAGCTCCTCTGGTGTCCAAACATCATTGGGGGTGGAATTATGCCTTGACAAATGTTAATGCGTGTTCAGTGTCTATAAATATCTTTGGCACGGTTGGTCCTGGTGCTGTGCTGGTCGGTCATGCTGTAGTCCATGTTTCAATATGTGTCTATTTCCACAAAGGACAGTGCTGCAAAATCCGCATGACTGCCAGGCCACTAGAAGGAGAGAATAAAGAGAAAAAGAAATAAAACTGCAGGTATGCAAATAAGTAATGAAATCATAAACACAGGATGGAAAAGACTTAGTAAGAAGTGAATTCACTCTAGAAATGTTCACACTACAGGATGTTGTCTCCTATAATGCACACAGGAGCCAAGTGTTTAAGGAGCTTCATCACACTGCTGATACTTAGCAGCACCTAAAACTGATGTTTTAAAACTGAAAACGCAGCAACGTGAGTTAGAGACGTGGCTCTGACCACACTTCATATATATAGTCACCATTACCGTGTGAAATTTATTTACATTTGACTAAATGTTGGCATCATTCATGATTATGATCATAATGATGCTACATTTTGTGCTTTTTTCTGAGTCCAGTGTGTTTTTATTGTGTTGCACACACAACTAAATTTGATGCAAAGCTAAAACATTTCCAGTAGGACCTGCTGATTGTGAGTGACACTTATTGAGCCAGCACAAATGCACTGAAATTCCTCAGAGAATATAAAGATTATTATTGTGATGAGCTGGATCAAGTGTGTTGAGAGTAGGGAAAACACTAAATTGGCAGGGCAGGTGGTTCTCCACAACCCAGGACCCAGGAGTTCATCCAGTCGTGTTATCAAAATAGTCATTAATGTACATTTAAGAAGGAGTGCACTGTAGTATGAGTATGCATAAAAATGATTCTGAAAAAATATTTCACTGTACAGTATTTGTAAATGTATTAAATATATACTGGGGCTACATAACTTTATATACTAATAATGTGAGTAAAGAGCACACAGGTGCTATTACAGACATACTGCACAGTTTAAATGTATTTTTAGAGTTCAGTTTGGCAGCACTTAAATTATATCTTAAGAGTGGCAAAAATAACACAAAAAGTATACCTAGTATACATAAAGCATGACTTAAATATATATGAAGCAGCCTGGCGTCCTTTTGACATGACAAGATGTTTTTTTCTTTTCACTGTTAGATCTACATTTGGTATAAAAGTTGTTTTATACAGTTAACATCAAATTAGCACAAGGAAAATCGTTTTTAAGCTGTTTTGAAGTGTACTTGCATTTTATATTTATTTTATATAGGACATTACATTTACCACCAATAATATCATACAGATGTTATACAATATAATACAGAATATTTCATTGCAAGCATTGTTCGCAAGCAAACTACATTGAAGTATAGATTTAACGCATATTGTTTAAAAATACCTTGATAAAGAACAGTTTTACCTTTAAATGAGCACAGTTCATTGTAAGCATAATGTGATGATGCACCTTTAAAAAAAATGTCTTTTTCAAGGGTATTTCATTAAAGCTCATATTCAAAACCAAAATTCTTTTACTGAAAGTATAGTTCCAGCATAAAAGCAGTTTATTTTAAGCATAACTTGAAGCACTGTCTCAAAACAAAATTAGCATATGTTTCTTTGAAGCGTACCTCATTAAAGTACATTAACACTTCTAAGTGTTTCTAAGTAGTAACACAAGCCCCCAGGATACACTTTGCAAAAGTATAGTTTTATCGTAAATTAAGCACAATACATAATTTATTACTCAAGTGAAGTATAATTTTTCTACGTGTACTAAAATATAAATTTAGTAGGTAAAAAGTTGTGTATATAGTAAAAAAGTAATAGTTGGAACATCTTGTTTATAGTTTAAATAGACTAATATCATATTAAATTATATGGCTTTTTCACAAGGGATTCCATGTTACATTAACAAAAGGCTGAAGGGAAACAGGGAAGTTAATGTTTCACCTCGCCAGACAGGTTCATTCACTTTATCATAGTCTCATCTCCAGTAATAATTCATTTTATTGTAATTCATTTTATTTTTGGAGAACATTATTTTTATTCAGACATAACACAGGCCTAATGCATGCATGCTCAGACTGCTCCACACAAAAATGTTAAAGGCAGTTTTCCCTTTCCTGGAGTGTGTTATGTAGCTTTTTGTGCATGTTAACAGTCTTGAAACGTTCCTCAGCTGCCTGAAACGCCTTGTTGGAATTCCAGCCCTTTTCTCTGTTACAAGGTGATGTCATCTCATAACACAGGCCTTACTGCCTGCCTACCTGCAAGCTTGGCAGGCCATCAGAAAAAGCACCGCAACTACTGGAGGCCCACTTGTTCGGTTTTGTAGCCATGTTGAGATGACGCTGATCTGACTTTCAGGATCGGACTCTGGCTCAAATTGATGGAGCAGAACCAACGCCATTGTAAGAACAGCCACAGCGGTGTTTACAGCTGCTCAGGAAATAAGAGCCAGTCTTTTATCGTTGTGCTCAAATTTCACTGCCTACGCTGAATGCACTCCACTCCCCACTGAACAGCGAGAACCAGCCAGTCACAGAGACAGACAATTGCATGTTATTATGCTCCTTAAAGGCAGGATGAGCAGGATTTGTCGGTTGCTGTTTAAACACACCATTCAAAGTTGGCTGAGAAAGAGCAGCGGTGGTTGAGCTAGAGAGTGAATGAAGAGAGGCATCAGCAGTAACCAGAACAAGGCAATGATTTAAAAAAATAAAACACAATTTTCTGATTGTTTTCTGATTGTTATGTTGCAACACCTCTTCCCGATCATGCGGGAAGGTTTCTGTGTGAATGCTGTCAGCTGCTGTGGCCTCCCTCTGCTCTGCGTGTCTGCAGACTGCAAGACAGGTGGTGGAACTGCTCTGGCAGTTGACCAATCACAACAGAGTCCTGAGAGGGCTTAAGGACATGGGCAGTCTAACTGAGCGACTGCATCTGAAATGGCATACCTAAGCAGTATGTACTAAAATTGAACCAATGCGTACAAACCTCCTTAAAAAGAGTAGGTGGGAACGTAGAGCTGCAGCTGTGTCTGAACCACAGCAAAGAGCACCTGCTCTCCATCAGCATTACTACTTAACAGTTAGACTATAAAATATGATTTGCCCATATGGCCCATATGACACATACAAATTGATGTGCAGAGTCATATGCATTCTCATTTATTGTTTTTTCTGAAGCATTTATGTTCATTTACTTATAAATAAGTATCAGTGTTTAAAAAAATGCTATTTTTGGCGAGTTGGCTTTAATAGTACAGTGTCACGAAACATGACATATGAACTGACTATAAGTTAGAAGGAGGCATACAATGGTACATATCCTAGACATGTTTGTCATCTTTTACACACAAAACTTTTTCCTGTTAATCCCACTTTATCATTTCAGTACAGTTTTAAGTGCTCCCCAGTGTTTTTCAGTGATTGCTGACCTTTTTCCACTGGTTCATTTTCACTTCTAATTTCTAGCTTGTGTGTTCACCATAACTTTGCATCTACACACACTCACACATTCTCTCCTCCATATCTCTCACTAGCTGCCAAAAATCAACGTCTGCTCTTCTCTCTGTCCTAACTGAGGGTAGTGAAGCTTCAGCATCACCATACGGCGTACCACTTCCAGCAAGCTAGAAGCAGATCCAAATCCAAATCCTTCTACAAACTTTACAAACACAGTACAAGGAAAAACATGGTACAAATAACATTTCCACTGACATTTTGCTTGTAATCTTAACAAAAACACAATCTACTTCATATTTTAGTCTGATGTTGTCCCATTTTATATGACTGGGAAAACCTTTCCTCTCCAGTTAACATAGCACAGGGTAAGCTCTGTAAGCGTACAATCATTTCAATCATCTGTGAGTGTTGGAGCTGAGGGCTCACCACTATAACATGTTGGCCATTAATACCATAGCTTTTGAATTCAAAGTACACTTTGGCTCTCAATCCTCAGGGTTTTACTGTGGTGAACAAGGCCTCACTTGCTGCTCTCCTACCACCACCATTTTACAACTTATGAGAAGTTCACTGACATATTGGTAGCAAGCAAGCTAATAACACTAATTGAAACTGGCTCAACTTATCAACACTGCCAACCAAAGACCCTCTCGCTTTTATTTACCTCAGTTAGTAATCTGTTAATGATAAGCAAATTAGGTAGTAGTTCACAGCAAAACTCTTCATGTTTGGTGTTGAGTTTTACTTACATGCACAAACCATATGTTTTCACTGAGCTAATGTTAACCGTGTGCTAACAGTTACTGAAATGTAAAGCTACTTTCAGACATGAACATTTACAGTAACCTCAAACTCCCAACATGAACCAAATGTACACTGATAAAGGACTCAAAAAGGACTTACAAAATCAACACAACATGGATTTTGACCAGGGGTGCTCAAACTTACACAGCTGTATGGGTGTAGAGTGGAGCCACTCTCATACTGTAGACTGTAAAAAGCTCAAAAAGCTCAGAATTTGATCTTCGTTAACGTTTGTAAAGATGTTTCTTAGGCTTTTAAATAGTTAACTGTACACTGCACAAGAACAAACCAGCGTAGAGCTCAAGATCGTTAGAGGACAGACTGGACTCGCATTTCCAGTCTGGGGGTGCGGGGGTGGGGGGAGCCACTTTAAAGCAGAGAAGGATCAAGAATTTCAGGCGTGGTTGAAGACAAAATCGAAAGTAAATGAGCGAAGATAAGCCGCGCAGTTATTCGCCCTCATCGTACTCTTTATAATCTTCTCCGGTACAGAAACAGACAGATTGAATCAGTATTCACTGATTTTAGAATCCACTGCTCATTTTTATCACAACCTACAGAACCTTCAGAAGCGATGTGTTCCACACAGAACCATGAGTCATGCTGAGACAAAAGAAGATAAGGTAAGAAAAACATCCACAGCTGTAATCAGTGTTTCAATATAATTGCTGAAACTAAATAAAGAAGCAGAGTAGAGATCACAAAACATACTCTACAGTAACTACATCAGCATTGTGACGTTCATGAACACGCCATTGAAATTACTTCTTCATTTTGTAGGACTGAATTGAATACATCTGTTAATGAGTGAGAAACATTTAATGTAATGAACTAATAAAAGATCAGTGATGCTTTGTGTTTGTGTACATCATGACATGATCATGAATAATTAACTGAACAACCCATGATCCTAAAACATTAGCAGTCATACTCAAGAGAAATCCAAGTTACTGGCATTAACATTTAAAGTGTTTAGAATGATTTCCTTATGAAATATTAGTGGATGCTTTATGAAATTCAAGTACGTTATTTATGTTATTTACATACATATGTCATCCCCTGAAAAGAACTTTCAATTTATTCATGAACATATCATGAAATTTGTACTAAAAAACAAACAATTTATGAACATCATTACCAAAAATCCTCTGTAGCACCTTTAAAATGAAATGGTCTCTCAGTGCTGCTTACTAAATCTTGTCCTACTGAACATGTGGGCAAAGAATTCTACCAAAAGCCTAATGTTGGAAATGTGACTCTGATATAGCATCACATACCAATAAAAAGAAATGCCATATTCTTTTTCCTCTGGTGGATTAATAATAATGCGTAGCATATCTGCTGGAGTACTGAGTGAAGAGTCACAATGAATTGTTTATTCTTATTTATTTTAATGTTAGTTGCTGAGTTTTGAAATGTTCAAAAATACCCAGAATATATAAGTGGCACCTAATTAACCTTGCAGGGCAGGAAGCTTTTGCAGCTGATCCTGCAATAATCACCAATTTACAGTTTGTTATAGAGTGCAGACTGACAGACACAAACAGTACAAGATTTAACATTCATATATGAATAACAGAACATATCAATCACTTTACTTGAGGCACTCAGTGATGGCATTTTAAATGTTCATAATATTGTCATAATTGTAAATATGTGTTATAGGTTATAGAAACATGCACAGGTCATTATCAATTTAAAAGGCATTGTAATGGATAGTGACATTACAACATGTTTCATTAAAGACATCATCAAAGAATTAATTGTAGCATTGCTTACTAAGCATTGTCATCAAATAACAGAGTTATAACCATTCATAACTATTTATGAGTGCAGTCTTCAAAGAAACCAAAAGTCCTCTCAGTGGTTCTCTAAGGAAGCATGTGACAAGAATAATTTTATTTTATTGTGTAAAACTGCTGAAAGATTTTTATATCTGATTTTAGTGGACAGTCACTACCAGAGCATTCAAACTTGAAAGTGGAATCCGCTCCTCAGGAAAAGTATTTATTTCTTTTGTCCTCAGCTTGTACAGTATCGGTTCAAATCTGGGTTTTGTAAATCAGCTTTGCGATTATTGATGCCTGTTAGTGTAAAAATAAAAGTCCTGCTCTGCAGTCATGTTCTCATCTATTTTTGTGAGTAGGTATCTTGTTATGGAAAATTCATCAGAAAAATTGTTAACCTACCTTTTTCTTTCATTTTAGTGGAAAAAGGAGAGCTCCAACTCCATTGAACCCGTTGTATGTCCTCGAGGCCTGATCAGTCATTGCCAGAGCCTCCAACCGTCAAAGGGGAATCTGCGCCTCAGGAAAGGTAGTCCTTTCACTTCTTTCTGCTTTTCATAATTTCTTTGAGACACAGTCCCAGAAACACTTCCTTAAAGAACTGTTAAACTCATTTCAGAGAAGGTTTATGTTAATTTTCATTTTTTTGTAAGTTCAGGGACATTTTATAAAAAGAAATACTTTTGTAACATATTTCCTTATTAACATGTTTTAGAGAATTTCTCTTTTTGAGTCTTGCTTTCTGGCAGTGGGTCTTTCTCAGGCTCTTATGGATTTTCTCCTTTTGAGTCTTTGTTTCTCTCTTTGGTTCCTCCTCATTTTCTTAGGGATTTTCTCTTTTTTGAATCTATCATGCTCTTAGAGAACTTTTCTTTGAACCTAGTTTACTATTAGTCGTTCTTCCAAACTAATCAGTGCAAATGTTCCAGTGTTACATTTTACCATGTTAGAATATCTTTGTCAATCAATCTGAGTTTTGCGCTTTGTGATCTTATGGAGTTTTTTATGGAGTTTCTCAGCTGCCACTGAGTTTGCAAACCAGTTTTTCTTTGAAATCCTGTAATCATTGGAATGAAATTGGTTCAGAAGGTGTCTCCAAATGATAATATATTAATTTGATTTTATAAAAGTGCTAAAACCATTTTCTGTCTCATTTTGGTGGAACTGAGGAAAGGTCAGAATCCCCTGTAGACAGGTCTGTGTCTTTGAAGAGTGACCAGTTGTTGCCAGAACCTCCATCCTTCAAAGTGGAATCAGCCCCTCAGGAAAGGTATTCCTTTCACTTCTTGCTCTTCATAATTTCATAATGTGTTAGACTGTCTGCTGCATCAGCACTTCAACAAAAGAGCAGTTTTAGACTCGTTTCAGGGAAGGATTTCGTTTTTGTTGTCAGTTCAGGGACATTTTATAAAAAGAAATACTTTTGTAACATATTTCCTTATTAACATGTTTTAGAGAATTTCTCTTTTTGAGTCTTGCTTTCTGGCAGTTACTCTTTCTCAGGCTCTTATGGATTTTCTCCTTTTGAGTCTTTGTTTCTCTCTTTGGTTCCTCCTCATTTTCTTAGCGATTTTCTCTTTTTTTGAATCTCTTATGCTCTTAGAAAATTTTTCTTCTTGCTCTTCATAATTTCATAATGTGTTAGACTGTCTGCTGCATCAGCACTTCAACAAAAGAGCAGTTTTAGACGCGTTTCAGGGAAGGATTTCGTTTTTATTTTGGTTGTTCTAATTCAGTTTGTTAACTTCCTCATGCTCTTTTGGATTTTCTTCTTTTGGGTCTTGGTTCCTCTCAGTGGTTCTTCCACATGCTCTTAGAGAAGTTCTCATTTTGAGGCTTTTCAGCTCTCAGTGTTTCTTCATCATGCCCTCATGGAGTTTCTTCTTTTGCCTCTCATTTTTCTCAGGTGTTCTTCCTCATACTCCTGCACTGTGAAACCTAATGAGTTCAGTGAAATCAAATCATTTAAGGAAACCGATTGCCTAAAATCATTTAAGTTTAGGTTACTCAAATCATTTGACCATGAGTAATTCCCTGAACTGAGTATGAACATCATATATGTTTACTGTTGTATACACTTTAGTAAATTGAGTAAATCACTCCTTTGATCTTAAAATGATTGAGTATTTTGGACTTATACAATAATGGTACTAACTCAATACAGTTAAGTCATTCTAACTTATATGTACTGCCTTTACACAACTCCAGCCACTCAAGTTCAGCTAACTCAGTTCCTTCCATTAAAACCTAAACTAGGCTTTAATTTTAACAAATTTATATAGAATGGCAAAACATTTTTGACAAGAATGCCTTAAATAGTTTGACTTAGTACTGCTCTGGACCATCTCGCCCAATACTGACAGTTCAGCCAGAAAGCAGAGGAGGTCAGAAGTGTCCAGAATCACACCCAGCAGGTGGGGTTATTGCAGCTCAGCTTACAGAGCACTGACCTACAATCCATACTAACTGAGACTAGATGAGCTCCCAAAATGTAAAAATTAAGTAAGCACCCAAGGAAGGTAGGCTGGGGAGAATGACTACACAGAGATGGTAGGTTAAACAAGGTGGAAAGACACGCCCAATATGCCACCAAGAGCCAATAGGAATGATGCGAGTTTTACTCAAGTTTGCATTGACCAAGCTTTCATCAGGTAAAGCTGAGAAGTCTTAACAAACTAAACTAAACTGCAAGAAGTTGTATCAACTCAAAGATCACAATTGAACTTCCAACGTTGTCAAAAGTTACATGAAAAGCATGAGAAGTCCAAATCATTTGAATGTAAACCCAACCCTGTCTGTACCTGTAAAGTCAACTTAAATAAAAATAGAGAACATAAAACACTTGAATAAAGTTACCTTTACTCAAATGATTTTACTCAAAATGACTCAAAGAGTTACTATCTCAACAATTCATTTTTGAGTTGGTTTGAGTTTGTCAGATTAAGTTACTCGAACCTTCTGTAGTGTTTAAGTTGTGTTAACTTTGGCAAAACACTCTTCAGTCTGAAGGACTTACGCAAATGAATTGATCTCAACTAACTTTACCTAAGTAACTAAGAATTATACAAGAACTAGTAAGTGTTACTAGATTTGCATTAGTAAGTGTAACAGATGAGTAAAGTAAACCTAAAAAAATTGAGTGAGTGCAATTGTTACATTTTACAGTGTGGAGAACTTCTCCTTTTGAACATTGTTTCCTCTTAATAGTTCGACATTATGATCCTATGGAGTTTTTACAGCTGCCACTGAGTTTGCAAACCAGTTTTTCTTTGAAATCCTCTAATCATTGGAATGAAATTGGTTCAGAAAGTGTCTCCAAATGATAATATATTAATTTGATTTCATAAAAGTGCTAAAACCATTTTCTGTCTCATTTTAGTGGAACTGAGGAAAGGTCAGAATCCCCTGTACATACAAAAAATACATTAATACATACATTTAGCACTGAATTAAAGGTGGCACAGAATTTAATTTGGAAATTCAAATCAACATAGCACTAAAATTAAGGTGGCATGGAATTTCAGGTGGACCTCTTTAAGGTAGCACTAAAATTAAGGTGGCACCGAATTTAAGGTGGAGCTTGTTTTAAGGTGGCACAGAATTTAAGGTGGAACTTCAATTAACATAGCACTAAATTTAAGGTAGAACTCTTTTTAAGGTGGCACAGAATTTAAGGTGGAACTTCAAACAACATAGCACTAAAATTTAGGTGGAATGGGATTTCAGGTGGACCTCTTTAAGGTAGCACTAAAATTAAGGTGGCACCGATTTTAAGCTGGAACTTCTTTTAAGGTGGCACAGAATTTAAGGTGGAACTCTCTTAAGGTGTATCCTGCCTTCCGCCCAATGACAGCTGGGATAGGCTCCAGCACCCCACCGCAACCCAGAAGGATAAGTGGTTTAGATGATGTATGTATGTATGTATGTATGTATGTATATGTAGAATGTAAGGTGGTACTGTCCTTAAGGTAGCATTAAAATTAAGGTGGCACAGAATTTAAGGTGGAACTTCAATTAACATAGCACTAAATTTAAGGTGGAACTCTTTTTAAGGTGGCACAAAATTTAAGGTGGAACAGCAATTACCATAGCACTAAATTTAAGATGATACAGAATGTAAGGTGGTACTGTCTTTAAGGTAGCACTAAAATTAAGGTGACAGAATTTAAGGTGGAACTCTTCTTAAAATGGCACCAAATTTAAGGTGGAACTGGAATTAACATAGCCCTAAACTCAGTGTGGCACAGAATTTAAGGTGGAACTTCACGGTAGCACCAAGCAATGAATTACCAGCCACCACGGATACTGCAACTTCTGCTTAACAACGTTTTGGCAGCATTTTAACAACTATCAACAGTCTTCAACTATTTTAACATTTTATCATAATTAACTGGCTTTTTCAAGCCAACTTAAAGTTTGTTCACAGACTTTCCCTTTCTAGTTGTTATTATTATTATTATTATTATTATTATTAATATTATTATTGTTGTTGTTGATTTTGTTTTTTTGTAGTTAGCATATTATTAGTAGGAGTAAAGCAGAAACCAAAATTTGGTCATTAAAACATCTCATTTTATTAGATTTATAGTAAATATCCTACATGATGGATGTTTTTTTCATTAGGCTAATTATTAAGTCCTGTTCAGTAATGAACATGGCGGGTCAGTAGCCGTTTCTAATCAGCAGCTTTTGGAAAAAATCATTAGATAAAAAACTGAACTTTATCTCAAACAGCAGAGTGGAGAACGTGTGTCTCTCTGCTCTGCTGATTCTTCTGTTTCTGCTGGTGGAGAAAAGCTCCAGAGTTACGTGACTAAACTGAAAGAGAAACTGAGCTGGTTTAGAGGAGCTGCTCGGTTTTCCTGCAGCGCTTATTAACATTTACTCAGACAGGAACTCAGATACAGGACTAATATAATCCCTAAGAGGCTGTAATGTGACCGACTCCGGGTAGATACAGTGTACCTTAGTCCACACAGGAGCGCGAGCTGCTCTGACGTAGAAGATCAAAGGAAAGGTAAGAATGATAGACACAGCTGTGAACACAGTTTTTGGATCATTAACATAATAAATAATTAGACCTAGAGTAATCTGAGCAAGTTCTGAGATTAAAATATAATGATTTATCCAGCTATTTTAACGATTTACGTCGATATTTTACATGTATATCTTTCGGAAACGCGCGAGAACAAACAGGAAGGAAGTTAGCAGGCTAACCCAGTTAATGCTACCGCATGTTGTATTATAGTTTGTAGACACAATTTTTCCCCAGAAAAACGCAATTTGCTTAGCCTGGATCTTTCACTGATTTGGGTGAACGATCAGGTTTTAATAAGGAGAACTTCACACATTGAGCACAAGAGATAAACTGTAGGCCAAAGCCTTTTGTGTCACACTATGGAATGATGTAATAATCCAGAATGGCAGTAGAATTGGAGAAAGTTTACAATAAGCCAACATTGTATAAAGGCAGAAATATACCATAATAATGCTACCTCACCCTTAGCATAAACCTTGAAATCTAAGAGATTTTTACTTCAGCATGTTTTCAATACTGCACTACTGACTGCAGTGTTACTGCACATTTTCTTTAACTTCTTTGACTTTGCTGTGGCCATGATTATTATCTAAGGTCAGAACACCTGAAGAAAATAATATTTAAATTAGATGCATAAAATAACTGAGCATCATATACAATCAAAGTGTCTTTAAAGTCTAACAATCATGTTTTAACCACAAACTATCAAAATCCATAATATAAAGATTTTATGAGCCATGCTTTAAATCTCTTGGGCATCAAAATATCTCACACCTGGCATTGAGATTCTTGCTGGTATTTTATACATGAGTGAACAATCTTAGCAGTTGTAGCACCTTTTAAATATGTATTTAAAATAGTTTTTTTAAACAATCATTAAAGTTTAAAAAAGGAACAAAAGAGCAATCATATCAGTATGAAATGGAAGGGTAAGCACAATAAAATATAAAAAATAAGTAAAAAGAAAGAAATACAGTTTGCAAACTCAGCTGCTTTTTAAAATTATGATATGATCAATTACAAATTTTCAGCAACTTTTAAATAAGATTTTGATCTCTTTTCAAATTTATAGAATATGTTGATTATCTATGGGCTGCCACTTCACTCTAAATCAGTCATCACTGATTAGAATTTGAGTTTTTAACATGACTGAAATGTTCTGATGATGCATAAACTACTAACAGTTTTTAAATACTTTTACCATTTTAGCTGATAAAGCCAAGACTAATGGATCAACATGTTGATGCCATTATTAGAGAAATAATAAACATATTTAATTTTTATTTTGACTTTTTGGTTCACTCGGCTAAATGAATCTGATGGATAAAAGTGGTAATTCAGAAATAAGCCCTGGAAATCGTTTTGGTGAGGACTTTTTTGAGAGTAATGAGTTTTTTTTTTCTACAATACTTAAAAAATATGTTTAAATGTATATGCAATAAAAAACAGCCCAATCTATTATTATTTTTCAAAATAATAGTAGTAATAATCCTCGTTTAGAGAGTAGTGCAGTCAAGTGGCTTTTCAACACTTAGACTGGTTTAAACAATTTTATGGTTGCCAATGACTTTTGCGCAGTACTGTATAAAACAGGGGTGTGACACTTAATCACTAAAAGAGCCATATTTAAAAAATCTGTGGGCCCAAGAAAAAAAAAGTTTTTATATCATTTTTAATTAAATTTGTGTTGTAACCCGAACTGGCCATTGTTCATTTAAAATACACAAAACTCTAACAGTAAAATACAGGCACTTGTACTAGACCTTGAAATATTGCATAAATCTTTGAAATATTCTAAATGTCAACATCCTCAGGAGCTCAGTCTTTTAAACCTGCCTATCTTGAACTGGACACCTGACATCCTGTCTTTGCTGCAGGTTCATTCAGACTGTTGAGTTGATGGTCAGTGTTTATATCGACTGAACTGCAGTCAGTATGTTTGGTTATATGACTGGTGTGGAACTGTGTAGAACTGAGGTGTAACTGCTGTCCCATAGACTGTTGTTGGGGTAGTAGAGGAGGTAGTAATGTTAAAATATTCAACTATGAATGAAGACCCGTGACTGGCAGTGATGAACATTTTTGCAGTTAAAACAACAAATCCAGTGTTTTATCTCAGTTATCTGTATTCCCCACTTAATGACCAGAAAAGTAGGAATTAGCTTCTACAGTATAAGAAATGTAGTTTAATAAACTGGACAATCTCACATTTTCCTGTTATTTTCCCATCAGACGAAGCTGAATGGCTGTACTAAGCCAGAGGAGTTAATGCTTTGATGTGATTGATGTCCTGCGTACACTCACCTCCCAGAAATAATGGCAAAGGAATACAGGAAAGTTAAAACCTCTGAAATGAGTCTCCAAGAGAAGCACTCAGAGTTTCATAGGTAAGCACATAGAATGTCTTTATCCAAATTTCTATCCTTGTACTGACACAGTTTATTTTAATCTTTGCTATGAAGCACTTCTCCAATATTTGATCAGAACAAATAATGTTTTTAATAGAGCACTACACGGATACATGAACCAAAACAACAAAGAAACTGTACCATATGAAGATTAATAGCATACTGAATCAAACCCATCAGAAATATAATGTAATGAGGCCTCCGCCCTTTCAGCCTCAGACTGTACAAGTGACATTTTGGGTGGCTTGTATTATAATAGTGCTTTAGAGGAACCTCCTGTACATAAGTTATTCATTCTACATTAATAAACATTATGGTCATGCTCCATTACAATTACATCTTCATTTTGAAACATTCATTGAATACATTGAGTCGTGAGTTACAAACATGTAATAAATTAAAAACAAATTTACTGTAAACTTCATAACATGATCATTCATCCATTAAAATACACTTTGGTTTCATTTCAAGGAAGAAATATGATTTTAATCACATAATATTCAAAAGATTCACATATTGCTCCATTATTTATTCTGTCCTACATTAAGTGTCTGTAGTAACTGTGTAGTTACACATGAATAACATATGCACTGACATTGTAACTACTGATGATTAAGTCACTGTTACAGATGGATAACAGAACTACAGTCTATGTAATTACACACATGTATCAACTTCAGTTTTGCCTCATGTAATTACTCAAATATATCTTCTACAGAGGAACATTCCTGTAGTGCAGAGTTAAAGTTACACGTTAAAGTAAGTGGACAGTTCCTGTGTAGTTATTATGTAGGTATTAACGTAATAATAGAGTAGTACTATAAAAATTGCTTTGGGGGAAATGCAACACATTTAATTAATGTTAAGAAAGTTACATTTTAAGACAAGGTGAAATCTGCTGTTCTGTCACATTTCAGACTGGTTTAAAGCTGAAACTGGTTACAGTGTCACAGCACTAGCAACATAAATGCTACCTAAATGTTAGGAAAGCTGGCAGATACAGTGTAAGTAATGTCTTAATATATGTTATTACAAACTTACTTTTACTGCTGAAAGTTAAAAAAAACTTTTGAAAAAACTGCTGTTCCAGTCTGATTACAATGGTAATCACATTAATGTTATTACCCTTGAGTAATTACATGAGAGACAGTAGGCTGTTACAACTATTAAGATACACTTGTGTAATTACAAAACTGAAGTTGATACGCATGTATAATTACATAAGCTCTACTTCTGCAATCCATCTGTAACAATGACTAAATCATTAGTAGTTACATTGTTGTCTCATTTTGTTCACATGTAACTACACAGTTATGAGAAACAATATAAAGTGCGACCATTTGTGCTTTAGTAGCAATCCTTTTGCTCAGTAGGCTTGAAATTTGATGGAATTGTAGTCTTAGAAAGCGATTTTTGACTCAAGTCAGAAATAGTACAGTGAGGAAGGGCCAGTGTTACTTTTTGCTGTGTTACAATATAATTATGTGATTTAATCTATATTTTTACAGCTTTTTATTTATTTTTAATGCTAAATTAAAGATTGTCTATTGCAGTAAGGTTCTCAAATGTCATACGTCTATAAACAAATAATTATTGTATGCAATATATAATAAGTATGATAGTAAGTATGAACAGTGGAATAGATTCAGAGATTATCGTGCAATAGAAAAACAGCATTTCATTCAGGTATCCAGCTGTGTGTCCTTGAAGAGTAACCGGTCAATGGCAGAACTTTTGTACTCCACAGGGGGTCAGCCCCTCAGGAATGGTATTTCTTCCACTTCACTGTTCTTCATATTTTCTTTTTCAGGTGCATTAACATGCTTAGAAGTTAAGACTGTTAGACTGATTTCCAGGAAGGATTTTGTTTTGTATCAATTTTTGTCAACTCAGAGACGTTTCATAAACAAATGGATATATTTTTGTAACATGTTTACTCGTTAACATATTTTCAGTCTCGTTATTAATTTAGACTATATTTTACAGGAGAATGACTAAGATTAAATTTAAGAATCTGTAAAATTTCATAATCTTTTTTGATACTGAAACAGGACAAAGAGGAGACCAAGGAAGAAGTTCAAATTACATGTAAAATTGACTGATTCTTCATTACAGAACAAAAGCTATGATGATGATGATGATTTGTTTTTGTTATCAGACATAATAAAACGTCAACTGTTGTGTTCAGGCACACAGTCATTGGCTCAGTAAGTCTTCAGTGATCCTAATAAGACATCCTAAAGATGTCCATTACAGTCTACTATGTCTGTTCCAGTCACTATGAGTCTGGCCCAAAACCTCCACGGATCTCCAATGATTTATAATCTCTATAAAGTCACATCCAGATCCAGAGTGGATCGTTTAGAGTCCTGGTTCCTTTCAGCGGTTCATTCTCATGCTGTCAGGAAGTTTGTCTTTTGGGTTTTTGTTCCTTTTGTGCTTCTTCCTGTGCTTGAACAGTCATTACTGGCTATCGGAGTCACAACCAATAGAGTAAAATACAGGGGCCTCTGTTAGCTACAGTACCATGTTACAATATTATTGTCAATCAATCTCTGATTTTTACTCCTGCTATTTATTTTTTTAATATTTTATCATTTTAAACATATAATTGCAGTGGAATTGCTTCATAAGGTATCTTTTTGAGAATAACATTTCATTCAATAAAACTGCTAAAAAACCTTTCTGTCTGTTTTGTAGTGGAAATGAGGGAAGGTCAGTCTCCCCTGTATACAGCTATCTCCGTATACAGCCTCTAAACTTCAAATGGGGATCAGAAAGATATTCTTTTCTCTTCCTCTAACTCATCTTAATCCCATTCATAGATGTTATACACATATAGAATGTGTGAAGTGCCATTTGTGTCACATATACAATTAATGATAAAGCACTTTGTCTGATAACAGTTTGTAAATTTGTATCATTGTTAATATAATGCCCCTCCACTACACAAAGCCCAATAAAGCATTCCCAGTGATATTAGGTGAAAAATAATTACGCCATTTTGTTAACCTACCTTTTTCTTTGATTAAAGTGGAACTGAGGAGAGGTCAGACTCCCCCGTATCCACCTGTATGTCACAATGCAAGACAAGGAGACTGAACAAACACAGGGGTACAAATACAATGGGGGGAGACAAGAAACACCTGGGACTAATGAGGGGGTGGAGCAGATAACAAGGGGGCATGACCAAGGAGGAGACACAGAACAAAACCAACAACAAAAGCACAGGGAACAAGAAAACAAAAGGCACACAGTGGAAGAAACAGGCACACTTTAGAACAAGGAACCCATGACAACAAGGCAATTATGCATTTATACAAATTATTACATAAATTTGACTGATTCTTCATTACAGAACAACAGCTATTATAATGACTTATTAACAGACATAACAAATATCAGCTGTTGTTTCAGTCTCTGTCAGTGAGGACCAACAAATATCAGCTGTTGTGTTCAGGCACACTGTCATGGTTTAAGTGCAGCTAGGAATGATAGGGTCTACTTGGGTCTCAGATGCGCATCGTAATGACGTCTGCTTCAGTCTCTGTCAATCAGTACCAAGACCTCAAATGATATCCGTTAATCTCCACAGTCACCTTTTACCCACATCCAGAATTATTAAATTCAAGTCTTGTTTTTTTCAGTGGTGCTTCTTCGTGCTCTAGGGGGAGCTTCTCCTTTTAGGTCATGGTTCGTCTCAGTGGTCATGCTTTCAGGGAGTTTGTCCTTTGGGGTTTTGTCCCTTTTGATTTTGTTTGTTGATTTTTGTTTATATTGGTTTTGATTTCATTTTACTTTTCAGTGCTGTCAGTTCAGGGACATTTAGGAAAAATAGAGACACTTTCATAAATGATTTACTTAATCACTTATTTTAAGTCTTGAAAGTCACCTTTCACCCAGATCCAGAGCTGTTCTTTTCACATTTTGGGTCCTCTCAGTGGTGTTTCCTCATGCTGAGGATCATGATGAACCGACCAAAAGAAACAGCCCAAGATTGCTTGCTAAAAAGTCAAGCTCTCTTTCTGATTTAGTTTAATACACAGTGAGATACTCGCTGCTGTGCTAAATACCTTGTTTCAGTTTGAATTGTTTAGATAATTCACATCAAACTGTACATGGGTTGAGACGACACTGAAAATACAATTGCTGGAATGTCAAGTCAGCTTTTATTGTCAATACTACAATATGTAGTATTGGATTGAGATTGCGTTACTCTCAGACCCCATGGTGTAGCGATAAGATTAAATAGACAGTAAACAGGAAAAGTGTGAATTTAAATAGACACTAAAAAAAAACACTAAACGCTAAACATAAAAATAAACACTAATTGTCGAAAAATAGAATTAAATATATATATATATATATATATAAAGGTCCTGAAATTAACACTAAAGTGACATAAGGCACATACAGATTAAGGTCTGTGGGTATAAATAGTGCAAATCGCAGATGCAGCTCTGTTCACTCTGCTTTTCCCATTCTGGCTGAACTTTATGCAAACAAGAAATACATTTTGCTGGGGGAAATGTGGTGCAGTATGAATTGTTCATCATACATTATGTAGCGATGACAGAAGTAATAAGCTTCACTCTAATGAAAATGCATGACCACAGAAAGAGTATCCTAAACATTTTTACTTTTATTTTGACTGCAGAGGTCAACAGAGGTCGATATCTACTGGGACAGGTGACAAGCTTCAAAAGAAGATTAAAGACCTCTTCAAAATCTTCAATGTAAAGCAAAGTGTTTTTTGTTATCTTTATCATCATTACCACCAGGTTCCACTTGCCAATGCCACATCTAGAATCAAACAAACCATGATGCAGTGTTACACAGCCATGTAGCAACTGATCAGCCAACTCTCCAATCACTCTTAGTTCTCTAATATGGCTTTATGTAGAAATTCCTATTAATATTTTGCATACCCTTGAACTAAAGTGTACTGGAGTAAAAATGTTGCTCTTACATACTTTTTTGAATCTGTGGCATCTAATAATTTTATATTCACATAAAATTTTTGAATTTTGCATGAACCAGTGTTATGTAATTTGAATCACATTAATATAATTTTCCATTCATTATTTTATCATATTTAATAAATCTTCTCCACATCTTTGTTTTGTCTTAAGGAGATTGAGAAGAAAATAATAGGGCTTGTAAAGCATGAGCTGGATATGTATAAGAAGCTTCTGAGAAAGGAAAGCACACAATATTATAGAAATGTCAAGCAAAGGAAATGTGATTTAAGACAGGGAGTTCTTAATATGACACTTTCCTACTTAGAGCAGATGGAACATGAGGACCTCGCTGACGCGCTACAAAGTAAGAGATCAATCAGATGACAGAATATGATATTTTCCAATTATATATGCAATAATACATTTGGGAATTGTTTTTATTTTTGCCACTTTGCTTTCCATAATTGATCAAATATTACTGAGATGAAATTACAGATTAGATACTGCAGAATGTACATCTATGAAATGGTACAGACACATTCATTTTTTTTAACATTTATTTTTCTCCTTTGTGTAATTAGATGAGCTGATTGGAATTATACAGCGTCCATTGAAAGAAAGACTGAGGAATACATTTTATTATCATGTATGTGAAGGAATTGCAAAGCAAGGAGAGTCCACCAGTCTAAACACCATCTACACAGATCTGTACATCACTGAAGGTGGAGCTGAACAGGTCAACAAAGAACATGAAGTGAGACTCATTGAAAAAAACAATGTAACAAGAGACACAAATCAAATGGAGCAAGAAGTACAAATCAAATGCAAGGATATGTTTGAACCTCTAACTGAAGAAAACAAACCCATCAGAACTGTTCTGACCCAGGGGGTTGCAGGTATTGGAAAATCAATCTGTGTGCAGAAGTTTATTTTGGACTGGGCTGAAGGTAAAGAATACCAGGACATCCAGTTCATCTTCCCACTTCCCTTCCGAGAACTGAACCTGAAGAAAGGATGTCAGAGTTTGATGGACATCATCTATTTCTTCTTCCCAGAGACACAGGGACTGAGATTAACCGATCAGAATAAAGTCCTGTTCATCTTTGATGGACTGGATGAATGTCAACTTCCTTTAGCATTCCAGAAAAATGAAACTCTGAACAGTATCTCAAAAGCAGCCCCACTGGACGCTGTGATGACGAACCTTATCAAGGGAAATCTGCTGCCCTCTGCTCTGATCTGGATAACCACTAGACCAGCTGCAGCCAGTATGATCCCTGCTGAGTGTATCGACCGAGTGACAGAGGTGCGCGGCTTCAATGATGAGCAGAAAGAGGAATATTTCAGAAGGAGAATCAGTGATCAGGACCTGGCCAACAAAATAATTGATCACATCAGAGAATCAAGAAGCCTCCACATCATGTGCCACATCCCTGTCTTCTGCTGGATCTCAGCCACTGTACTTCAGAGAATTCTAGAAGAAACAGAGAATGAAGACACACCAAAGACCCTGACACAAATGTACACCTGCTTTCTGATCTTTCAGACCGTACAAGGGAACGCAAAGTACATTGGAAAGAATGCCTTGGACATACCATGGGATAAAGCCACCATTCACTCACTGGGAAAGTTGGCTTTTCAGCACTTGGAAGAAAACAGCCTGATATTCTATTCAAGTGATCTAGAAGCCTGTGGAATTGACTTCAGGAATATATCAGTGTACTCAGGACTGTGCACTCAGGAGACAGGCAGATTTCATGACACAGTGTTCAGTTTTATCCATCCGAGCATTCAAGAGTTCCTTGCTGCTGTATTTGCATATGTATCTCTCAGAAATGACAACAAGAATGTTTTAGACCATCAGTCTGAATCACAGGAGAGCAAGAAAACAGAAGTCATTGATTTGCTCAAGGCTGCAGTAGACCAGGCTTTGAAGAGTGACCATGGACACCTGGACCTTTTCCTTCGCTTCCTTCTGGGTCTCTCTCTGGAGTCTAATGAGCAGCTCATTCGAGGTCTGCTGACCCAGAAAGGAAGCAGGTCTGACTGCCAGAAGGACATAGTTGAGTACATCAAGTCAAAGTTTAAGGAAAATCCATCTCCAGAGAGATCAGTCAATCTCTTCTACTGTCTGAATGAGCTAAATGATGATTCTCTAGTGAAAGAGATCCAGAGTTACATGAGCTCAGGACGTCTCTCTGAAGCTGAACTCTCACCTGCACAGTGGTCAGCTCTGGTCTTTGTGCTGCTGACATCAAAAAAGAAGCTGGAGGTGTTTGACTTAAAGAAGTTCATCAGATCAGATGAGTGTCTTATCAGACTGCTGCCGGTGGTCAAGGAAGCCACATCAGCTCTGTAAGTAAAACTTATACATATATTGTGAATTAAAGTAGATTTTTGATATAGTAAATTATTTGAATACTTCTTTTCTATGTTAAAGTGGTGTAATACTCTAAAACATGTCCCAAAAAACACAGGTGACATTAAGACTCCCATTGTTCTGGAAAATGTTTATTAACTGGGTTGTATAGTAGTATTGTTGAAAGGGATGTAATTTTGTGCACTGTAAAGTTTGTGCAGATTTCTGTCAAATGTTTTAACTAATGGGATTTTTTTTTAAAAGAATCTGTTACATTTAGATACTTAAAAACTTGAGCATATGGTTAAATTTTAAAATAGGTGTCCACGTCTAACGAGGCACATTAACTCAGATGCTCACAGGTAAAAAGAGAAAGTGAGGCTTTAACGTTAGAATCGTGATCCAAAAACGTGGTCAGAGAACAGGCAAAGGTCAAATCCAAAAAGACAAAAGACACAAAAACACAAACATAGCCTCCCAAACAGAGTCCAAAGGGCAAAGGCAAAAAGGACAAAAGTCAAAATAGCAAAACAGAGTCAGAACCAGAAAAATCACAATAATCAGAAGATTAACACTCAGTAGCTCTTGTAACAAGTAGCAGTACCTCGCAAAGAATTAGTCTAAAAGCTCTGGCTTTATACTAATCTAATCATACCAGAACAGGTGTAACAAGTTAGTATTCAAGGGACAGAGACTGGTGACTGGAGCAAGATGGAGGGCTGAGAATCATGTGATCCCCTGGGGATTCTGGGAAATGGAGTCCCTAGAGGCCTCCGAGCCCGAGGGATGCATGACACCATTGTAATGTCCGTCAATTCCAGGTGGTGTAATCAGTTATACCATTTATTTCCAGTCATCCCAACTGTCATTGTAAAAACCTGTTAAATAAGGAAACATCTTTTAAACTGTTGTAAATCAATGATGCTTTATGATGTATTTTGAGTGCTACTATTGTTGTCATTCTGTTTTTAAAACTAAATAGCTGATTTTATGTATATATATATATATATATATATATATATATATATATATATATATATATATACACACACACACACACACACACACATATATATATATATATATTAGTTTTATTAAAGGACAACTTTACTGTTTTCAGCCTGACCTTATTAAAATTGTTATTTGCATTATTTATGATTGTTCATTGCAGAACTTTACTTTGGTTTTAGTGTTGAGAAAAGTGCAAGTCAGTGCATCAGTTCTTAAGGCTATGATATTTTTAATCAAGATGATCCAGATGTTAGTAGAAGTTACAAAATCTTTTGTGATATGATTTTTGGATTCATTATATTTGTAAGAAAATGTAGGATAAAAGGATTTTGAGATTATTAACACCTCTCTGATATATTTTCATTTTAGGCTGAGTGAGTGTAACCTGACAGAGAGAAGCTGTTCAGCTCTGATTAAAGTTCTCAGCTCAGAATCCTCTAAGCTGACTTTTCTGGACCTGAGCAGGAATCCTATACAGGACAGAGGAGTAGAGCTGCTCTCAGCTGGACTGGAGAGTGAAAACTGCAAACTGCAGAAACTGAGGTGAGTTAATCTCTCATTAAGTAGACTTTATCAGTCAGTGTCACAGTATGTCAGGAAAACCACCATGCCAACATTATACCTCAGACCTCAGCAACTCAAAGAGAAACCTGAGGTGCTGTGACTTCTAGGGTTTGCGTGTGGGGAATATCTCAGTCCTCGTCACATTTCGTCCTTAGTTCTGATTGGTTCTCCTTTCACATAGCTGTGGCAACTCATATGTAATTCAATGTTGAGGTTAACATTATGTGTTTTGTATATTTTGTGTACAGTTCAGAATTATTACATTCGTACATAAGAATTTAGACCTATCGACTTGGCATCTACCTTCTTCAATGTCTTTACTTTTTAAAAAGAATAAGGAACCCCATTACTGTTCATAATAAAAATGTTTATAATGCAATAAACACAAAATACAATGCCACCATCTACATCTGAATTTGTAGTTATTTCATTTTGAAAATCTCTGCATCTGTATCTGTGTTGAGTTTTGAACAGTTCTGAAACTGGATTTGAATCCATTCCTGTGTGTTTCATTAAAAACATCTACTTGTAACAAAATAAGAATAATAAGTCAGGGCAAAATTTTATTTGAGTGCTTTTTTTGTAGATTTAATAAATACTCAAATGACTCTCAGTAACATATCAATGATGTAGCAGCAATGAATATAGATTATCATGATACTTTAATTGCATAAATAATATTTGTTTATAGTCTGCAGAATTCAGTTGTTTTTCATTTTACTTGGAGTGCCCATATTCATATCTGTAGATGTTAATCTGAGAGGAACTGAACATTATAGGTTTAATACAGACCACCAACACCCTCAACAAGCTGGTATAGACACACTGACACCATCCTGTATCTGAAGCGTAACTGGATTAGGTTTTGGTTAAAAACAGGGTTAGGTTTAGGGCCAGTGTGATGGGTAGATTAGGTTTTAGATTGAGGCTAAGGTTAGGATTAGGATTAGATTTTGTGTTAAGGTTAGGGTTTAGGGGTAGGGGTAGGGCCAGGTACAGGGTTAGGTTTTGAGTAGGGTTGGGTAAGGTTAGGTTTTGCTTAATGAAAGTACCATATTGAGTCTACTTCATGTAACATATCAACAATACATCTACCCAATGCAAATAATATATAAACAGTACATCTTCAAGATCTTTACCTCAATGTACTCAGATGCTGCACTACTGCTACTTAATTGCTACTTCACTGCTATGTTGTTGATGTGTTACTGATAACCTGTTAGGAGTTTATTAATCATCTACAAAAGGACCACTCAACGTGTTACCAATATATCAACAGGCAAAAAGAAGAAAACAAAAGAGAGGGCCAGAATGTGGAGGGGTCTTGGTTCTTTAGGCCAGATTACTAAAATAAAACTTTGTATATTGTATATTATATACTTTGTTTGTGTTTATCATGTCCATTATTAGGTCATTCACAAACATGTGGTATATTTTCCTGTGTTTTGCTAAAAGATAATACATTTTTGTTCTCTCCATAGTCTTTCATTCTGCAGTATGACAGAGGAAGGATATGCTGCTCTGGCTTCAGCTCTGAAATCAAACCCCTCATCACACCTGATAGAGCTGGATCTCAGAGGGAATGATCCTGGAAATACAGGAGTAAAGAGGCTCACTGATCTACTAGAGGATCCACACTGTAAACTGAAGACAATAGGGTAAACGGTTTCTATGTTATAGCTTCCCAGTCAACCTAGCAAAAAACAAATGTATATGATGAACATGTAAATGTTGATCTTTTTCAACCATTGCTTTTCTTTTAATAAATGACATTTGGGCCTTTTTTATTTATTATGTGTAGTTTTGTTAAAAGTGTAAGTTATTTTCAAAGGAAAAATCATATGAGGGGTAAATTTAAATAGAATTCAGAGTACCAGAGGAGTGTGAGGTATAATCAATGTATAATTATGAAAAAATGTGATTTTCTTTCTTCAGACTGTTGAAAAGTTCTGCTACAGAGGAAGTATGTGATTCTCTAACTAAAACTCTAGGAATAAACCCCTTACTGCTGAGAGAGCTGGATCTGAGTGGGAAAATACAAGGAGATTCAGACATGAAGAAGATCTGTTATCTACTGGGGGATTCAAACTGCAGAACTCAGAAACTGAAGTGTGTAGATTAATTTATTATTGCACTTGTCATTGTTATTATTGTTATTATTTTATTAGGTATATGATGATTAAAGAAACTTATGTCTGTCACCTACACAAGGTGACAAGATGCAGATGATGATAATGATAATGATAATGGATAATGAATTAAGAAATGGTTAAAGCATGTTTTACTCAAATGTCTTTTAAAATCTACACAGTTTTTTTTTCACAAGAAATACAGATCTCATTCATCTTTTTTCCACAATTCTTCTCTGTCTACAGGCTGAATAAGTGCAGTATTACAGAGGAAGGCTGTGCTGCTCTATCATCAGCTCTTTGTTCAAATCCTTCACACCTGATAGAGCTGGATCTGAGTGAGAATAAACTAGGAAACTCTGGAGTGAAGCACATCTGTTCTCTACTGAACAATCAGTGCTGTAAACTGCAGAAACTAAAGTGAGATCTATTTGTTCCACTTAATTTCTAAAAACTAAAACTTAATATATTAACACATGTAAAACATGATCATATAGTAAAGGGATCACATATGCAATGGAAAAAAAGCCAAAAAAAAAAAAGGAAGAAAATATGCCTTTCAAACCATAACCTTCTTCCATCATGCTTTTTTTAAAAAATGCAGATAACAACATCTTCTCTTTCCAGTCTTTCCTTCTGCAGTATAACAGAGGAAGGATATGCTGCTCTGGCCTCAGCTCTGAAATCAAACCCATCATCAACCCTGATAGAGCTGGATCTCAGAGGGAACGATCATGGAGATACAGGAGTGAAGACGCTCATGGATTTACAAAACGATCCACGCCGTAAACAGAAGGTAAATCTGTTCATTTACCCAAAAGTAGCACCTGACATTTATTCAGTAATGTATTACATTACAATACATGAAAAGAAACATGCATAAACATTGAAATTAGTCATTCTAAATGCACTTGTATTAACTGGTTACTGTAGAATACTGCATAGACACACACAGTAAAGTATAATACAATATCTCACAATACTAAAATTGTTTTCCTTTTTTCCTTTCAGTGTGGATGGCTGCTTTAAAAAGTCTTTATATAAGGAATATCGGATGACAAGTCAGAAACAGCAGCAAAGGATCTGGATGGACAGTCACCATGTCAAACAGAGTGGGTCTCTGCTGTCTGGCTGGAGTCCACTTAAATGTGATGAGCTAAATGGACGAGAAACAGCTTTTTCATTTTTGTGTTTCAACTTAAATTTTGGGCAAACCAGTCAAATTACATGTCATGTTGATTTTTTGAGTGCTACAATTTGCTAACACAGAACCCACTATATTCTGCTACACTTATCTGTTTAGTTTCCCTTTTTTGAGAATCTTTTTCATCTGGATGAAAATAAATAAATAAATAAGTGGACCCACACTCCACAAAACAAGAAATTGTTATGAAACAGCAGGGAGGCAGACAGAGCCAGACTCGAACCACAAAAACGGGAAAAACACCTCAACGAATGGAAAAGGCAAACAAAGGGGACACTGAAAACAGCTCAAACAAAGGCTGAGATAGAAAAGGGAAGTAAAAGATAATCAGAAAACAAAAGACACTTCCTCTCTGATTCTGAGAAGAAGGTCAGCTTTACGTTTCACCTGTTTGCTCTTTGTAGAACAAACACTTTTGTATGGCTTGGAGCCATTTCTTGTTTAAGCCTTCCTTTTGGCTTTTAAGTAGTTTTGGGGCCATTTATTTTTTTCTTTTCCTTCCTCTTTCCTTTTCATCTGAATACCCATCTGGGCTGAGTACCGTACCAGTCACCCCTCTACAAAGGCATGAAAAAGGTTTATTGTAAACAACATCCAGGTGTCTTTCATGTGCATCTCCCACCACTAAGGCATGTGTGCCAGCTTGGACAGCCTTCAGACACATGATGAGCTGCTGTACTGTGTGTGGGAGGAACCAGTGCCCAGGAAGTGTGTGTGACTGTTGCTAGTGCTGCCCAGTTTAAGATGGTGCTGAGTGTGGTACGTGGCACGGCTGGTGTGGGGCACTTGTGTATTTATTCAATTGTTTCTGTTTTTGTTTGTATGTTGTGTTTTTAGGGACACCACGACTGAAAAAATGCAGTCAAATTGCCATTCACTGCATGGTTGGTATATCTCAAAGAAAAAGAAGAGGATCTTTTCAGAATTTGGTGAAAAAACCTAAATCGCAATGACTTTCCGATTGTATGTTACGCTTTATTTGTTGTGTTTACCTTTCCTTAAAATGCATGACAAATACAAAGATATTGAAACTGAAATCTTGGGCCTGAAATTTTCTCTATTACGATGCCGAAGCACAAAAGAGGAGGTCTTACAGGGGAAGTGATGAAGATCACAGTCAACAAAGGTGCCAGTGCCTTTGTGCCTCTGATATATGCCCTCAGTCTGAGATACCCAAGACAACTGAGGCATACCTGTAAAGTTTTTCCTTCAGAGTTGCTCCGTGACCTGGATGGACTGAAAGCTAGTCCAAAAGTAGCACAAACTTTTTCCTAAATGATGTGAAAAGTACAGAAGTACTGTGAAATGTCAGGATTTTATAGTGAATTTGTCAAAATTCATAATTAAAACCAGCAATGTTCAGAGAGAAAGTTGCTGAGTTTATTTTGTACTATGCAGGTGGATTTATTTTTTCTGCAAAAAATTGCTGTACATACAACTAAACTGAGATGTGATTAATAAAAATCTTAAGGTAACAATTTGCATGGACATTTTTAAATGCAACACAAACAAATTAAAGTTATTTCAAATTAATTTATTAGGTAGGTCCTACTTGATTTTTATAATATTCACTAAAATCAAATTAGTGGAAATTAATTTATTTGTGTTAGAAGAAAACAATAAAGTTGATATATTGATATTATACAGGTTTAAATTATTTTAGCTTTCTAATGTTAAAGATTTTCATATTGATACTATGTAATTTTATGTATGTAATAGTAAGTATTAATAGTAGGTGATCTAGTGAAGTTAGTCTAGTTAATTCTAGTTGATACAACTTTAAAAGAATGCAAGCAAATTGTTACCTTTATTTTTAAGTAAATATTATTATATCAATTTTTAGAGTATATATGTATCTTTATGTAATTTCCTTTTTCTTTTTATCCTGTTTATTATTGATGCTCATTTTGTTCTATATAAAACCTAATTTTTCTCTGTGCTGCCTCAGACAAACAGGAGTCCTGGATCTGTTATTTGTTCCATGTATTGTAGGAAAATGAAGAGGCTCTCAAGCACAATCTCACCACAGTCTTTCTGTGTTGTGAGGTTGACCACCAAAGCCATGGCCATCTGCGTGTTCCTCTTCAGGACAAAGAAGAAGTATCCAGCATCCACCCTAATGGCCAAACTAGCACTGACTGACCTGCTCTTCATGTGTGTGGATGATAGTGTGGCTCATCACTGTACCGCTCTATCTGAATCAACAGACTGTTAAAGCACAACCACCTGCCATGACATCACTTACCGCAACCAAATACACTTCTTTGTTAAATACACCGATCAGGCATAACATTATGAGCACCTCCTTGTTTCTACACCTAACCCTAACCCTAACGTCCTGTGACCACTGATGAACGACTAGAGGATGACCAACACAAACTGTGCAGCAGCAGATGAGTGATCGTCTCTGACTTTACATCTACAAGGTGGACCGACCAGGTAGGAGTGTCTAATAGAGTGGACAGTGAGTGGACACAGTGTTTAAAACTCCAGCAGCACTGCTGCGTCTGATCCACTCGCACCAGCACAACACACACTAACACACCACCACCACGTCAGTGTTTAACTTATCTTCTTGCTGGCAAGATCCACTGATGCACAGTAGGTGGCAGTGATGTCCATATAGTGCAGTGTCAGCCTTTCACTGGAACTGCACCATATTAGGGTCTAAATTGTATTATGCTTGTTCATAACCCTTGTATGAAGTGTCATAGCAGAGATCTACATACAGAAACATTAATTTCTCCATGCTATGGAGGTGCATTTTTAAGAGAAAGAGAAAAGGGGAAGTGAACGGTAGTCTGGATTAGAACTGGATTATTTTACTCAGATTTTCATTCTGAAGCCTAAAAAAGTGACACATACCGTGTCATATTAAAGCCAGGCTGAAGGGAAAGAGGTCATTTAGAAAGTGAAGCATTTTTTATTAAAGTCTCAGTTTGACAGACAGGTTTATTCATTTTCCTGTAAACTCTCAGCTCTGGAGTGCTGGACTTTGGTCAGTTTGTTTAGATGAGGTGAGAAAGTGTGTGGCTACTTTAAGTACATCTTGAATGGCAGTTTGTATGAAGATGTAGATGATAAATGATGTTGTACTTCATGATTGTTTTGGTGATCATGGTATTTGGTCAGACATAACACATGAATCTTCAACCTGCTCCACTCAAAAAAGTGAAATAAAATGTCCTTTTTAGATCATAACATATATTGACAATATTGAACTTTCTTGCACTGGACTTGGAAAGTTTTGGTAACCTTTTATATAAATGTGTGTATTATGTAAAGATGTCAGTTATGTTTGAAGCTTTTTTGCCTTTTAATAAACTGTAGTGAAAGTTTACTGAGAAATAAAATCTATTTCATTTTAAATGTATTCAATTTGGTCAGATTTGATTTATTCTAATATGTATTGTTAATGATAAAGTATTTGTAAACAATCTGACATGAGGAGTGCATGTGGGAGGAAAAATGTTAATATCTAAGATCATCATTTTCATATCTTGTATATCAGAGTGTTTATTTTGTGTTTTTTGCAGTCGCGCTTCTTATTATGGTATAATTCTATTTATTGGAACTGATTCACTGCTAGCAACCAAATTTGTCTAGCTGTCTGCAGCTAACTAGTTAGTAAATCTGACAAGCAAGGTGTAACGGTTTCACAGAATTCAGACGCTTGCGGATTAAGAACGAGAAGTAAGCTTTAATGTTGAAGTCAGAGTCCAAGATCATTGTCAAAAAACAGGCAAAAAGGTCAACACACAGAGAACAAATATCCGGGGCAAACAATCCAAAAGGGCAAATCCAAAAACAGAGTCGAAAACAACGGGTGCTACAGGTCATACACAAAATCCTGATCATAGATATAACGCTCAGTAGTTTACCAAAGAAACAATACCTCGCAAAGAACACTGGCTAAAGACCGGTCTTTAAAGCTAACTAAAGAAGTCACATGATCAATACACAGGTGAAACACATCAGTATTCAGGCGATCGAGAATGCTGATAGGAGCGTGTGGGGAGATCAGCAGTCAGCTGATCTCCCTGTGTATTCTGGGGGATGGAGTCCGTGTGTGTACTGTGGTTTGTAGGAAGCGTCACAGTCATGTGATCTCCCAGAGGATTCTGGGAGATCGAGTCCGTTTCCTCCGCTTCACCCGTGACATTCGTGACACAAGGCTGAATATAACAGCACTTTAGAGCTATTTTTATGGACAAGATTACACTAAAAAGATTACATTAAAAATCAGAGACTGCTGGTGTTACTTTGGTCACTGTTTGGTGATGCCCATTGGACGCCACACATACTACTGAATTAAAGCTGAAAAAGGGACAGTGGCACCTCCTCCAAATTTGGCAAAAGTGTAGATCTGAGTGATTAATGACATACAATATGAACTGGGCCACTCTGTGTTACACAATGTCAGGTTCACTGTTTTTGTGAGGCATGTGTATCCTACTGTGGAAAGCATAAAGAAAGGACAAAGGAACAATGGGGTAGGAATAGAGATAAGGAAAAGAAAGATAAAGATATAATAGAGCCCACTACAGTGTTACTTCACTGGGTAGAGAGGGGGTGGGGTTTATACAGAAATAGTCTTAGATTTGTCACATTTTCCTAATTAAATAAATAAATAAGTGAGAATGCATGTAGAAGTGCATCTTTACATCTGCAAGCTGCAAAAAAGTGCTAAATAGACTTTCAGTGCATAGAAATTTGGTGGATATTTCACTGTGATTCACAAATTAAATTTGGTTCAGTAATAATTGTTGAAGGTCACTTGAATGAGGAGAGCAGCCTGTTTGAGTCAGATGCCACTGATGACTGAACTTCAGCCAATGATGAACAACTCAAGTAAAAACCTAAAGAGTGGATATGAAGTGCTTAGCTAATCAGCATTGATGCAAAGTGTCCAAAGCCAAAAATCACTGAAGGAAGGTAATGAACAATAATTTCCCAACTAGAAAGAGTGACATTTCCACAAATCACATCTCTGTGTGTATATGAATTCAGACAAATTAAGACAAAAAAAAAATTGTTCAGCGTTTATAAATA